TGCATTACATGAAGTAAACACATTCTTCCATTATGTCAGCACTTTATAACTTGAAGTCGGAAGTTCATTATGTGAAGTGAAAATATGTTTACATTGTGTTAAAACTTTATTACGTGAAATGAATGTTTCTTTATATTATTTCATTTCTTTAATATATGAGGTCAAAATTGCATTACGTCAAGTAAATTGTGTTTTATAATTAAACTTATCATTACATGAAGTCAAAAGTCCATTCCTTTTTGAGAGTGTATATGTCTATTATGTCAAAGCATTATTACGTGATATGGATTTATCTTTATCTTACGGCGAGAGCATCATGATGTGAGGTGAACACATTTTACCTTTATGTCAGTGCTTTATTACGTGGTATAAAAAGTGTATAACATAATGTGAACATATCTTTATATTATACCATCACTTTATTACATTATGTCAAAAACTCCATTCCGTGATGTGGATATATAATTACGTTATGTCAACTCTGATGTGATTTAAAAAATATCTTTATATTGTGTAAACTCTTTATCATGTTGATTCCAAAAGTTCATTACCTGATGTGAAAATACATAAATTTACATTGTCTGAAAGCTGTATATCTAGTATAATAATGAATGTTGACGACTGTGATTTAATGACTGGTAAGAGGGGGGGAGGGCGATTGAGTAGGACGAATTATAGACATATAATATCAGCCCCCCTCTTTTCCCAGACATAACCTTATTATAGAAAATGTAATGTTCTTTGAAAGTACAGCCCCCACCCCCACTTATTGTTGAAGTATAGTCCACTAGGGGTAATGTAGTATAACTGAAAAAATATAAGACTAATCAAAGGTCTGAAATAGGATTTTCGGGCTTGGACAATTTTTTTTGGCTTATCAAGTTTTTTCGGGTAAATAATTTTTTTTTCTGGCTGACATCCTCTTTCAAATAAATGCTATGTCACGGAATAAGTTACTGTAATTTTTTCAACCATTCCAACACCAGAATTTTGTTACAAAAATATACCAGTCCCTCATCTAAATCATGCAATTGAATATGCCTTGATAAGCATGCATGGGCACATATTTGTGGCGCATATGGGAATCTTGAAAATAGAAGGGGGACTTTAATTGGTGACCAAAGAGGGAAAAAAAACTGTTTATAGTTTTATAGAAAAAAGTTTTCAATATATAATTCAACTAAACTTAATGTGAAAGTAATGCAATGTCCTACGATGTAAAACTAATAAATTTATTAATTTTATGTATATTTTGGTGTCTAAAGATGGTAGGGCGGGATTTACGGCAAGTGCACGTGCGTTATTCGATCGACGCGTTTACACTTTTAAAAAAGGAGGGTTTAAGACTGACAAAAAAAAACTTATGACAGTGTTTTGAGTAAGATCAGAAGTTTTAAGATTTTTTATAAAAAAAAAAAAAAAAAAGCAATTCAAAAGAAAAAAAATGCTGCACGACTCATATTTGATTTATTTCATTATCAGATAAAAGTAAATTGAATTTCGACGTGTGACTTTAATTCACAGTCGCAGTGTTAAGGCTTTGCACGTTTCAAGATTGTTAATCATTTTTCGCTAAAAGTTTTCATTTAATGATGCAATATCCAAATCGCTGAGAATTTATTTTATTACAGTTTTCTCTCCCGCCATTTTTAGTGCTTTCGGAATGCGGAAATTACGTTATGCTCATATAAAGGCCGAGGATACCCGTGTTCGCATAACGTAATAGTGAATCGACATAATGTAGAAGAGTGCGCACAGTATGACATCAGCTTTTCACATCTGATATGAGATGAAATAGCCTAAGATACATGTATGCTGACAAGAGGCTTAGCATTCTTGACACAATGACGTAACGTAATAACGATTTGTCAAAAAGTAAGGGCAAATTCACATCATGAAATTGATTCACGTCGTCATGTAGCATATTGAAGGCATAAAGTAGTAAAAGAATTGACCACATGTGACAATTTTTTCAGATCATGTAATGAAATTCTGACATCGTATTATAGCGACTTCATATTGAGTTAAAGATAAATTCACATCATGTAATGAACTACTTAGACCAAATAGTAGATAGTGCACATAATGTAATAATGAGTTGAAAATATATAAAAACATATTTACACCACGTAGAATTGTTTTGACTTGATGTCATAAAGAGCGGATATAATGCAGTGGAAGATTGGCGCAATGTAATTAAAGTGCGAGTTAATGCCATAAAGACTAAACATAATGTAATTGAAAGTTGACTTAACGCAATAGTCGTGTGTGTAATTGTCATAAAGAGTTGACATAATGTAATGAAAGGTTGACACAATGCAATAGTAGTGTGGACAAAAGTCATAAAGAGTTGACATAATATAATGGAAAGTTGACATAATGCAAAAGTATTGTGGGCTAATGTCATAAAGGGTTGACATAATATAATGGAAGGTTGACATATAATGCAATAGTATTGTGGGTTAATGTCATAAAGAGTTGACATAATATAATGGAAGGTTGACATAATGCAATAGTATTGTGGGTTAATGTCATAAAGTGTTGACATAATGTAATGGAAGGTTGACGCAATGCAACTGTTGTGTTCTGCTATAAGGCAGTGACGGCGTTCCATAGTAATTTATCATTCAATGTTATATGTCTATTTACTTCTTACGAAACAGAAGTCTTATCTTTTCTTTTAAGGTTCATCGATGTTAGAGTAAAACTAACTGGTAACTTTTAGTGGTTTGTGAAAGTCATTTTGTTTATGAGGTTATTGCCTGTTCTGTACAGCCTGTACCTTACTTATGCCACAACATTGACATCAACACTTCAGCTTCCTGGTCAAATTGGTTTTTTTTTCTGAGACAAAGGTTGCTTTTACTGTCGTTTAGAAAAAAAAAATAGTTCAGTATATGTTTGACTTGGGGGAGGGGGTATTTCCTACTTTTGTGAAAGGATCCAGCTCATTTTAGGCAAAAGGGGTGCATGAAGACGAAAACATAACGTACATCTAAGATTTATCAGATCAAAGTCTTTGAAAAAAAATACTAGAACTTGTTTTTGTTGAATATGAATATAAGTGACAATTTATTTTCAGACCTAGGATTGGAAAGAATGGCGTTTTTAAATCTATGCAAGTTTCAAAAATTATTTTAACATTTTATAAAATATTACTAGTATGCTTTACTATCTCTAAATAGAACAATAAGCCATAAAAAAAAAAGAATATAAAAGGGCCAAAAAATGAAGTAAAAATTCATTTTGGAAAAAAGCGCCCGGGGGGATTGTGGTTCTTTGCGACATAAAGTTAATAAAAATCACTCTGGGTTAAATTTTATGAATGAAATTCAATTTAGGAAGCGTGTCTCTTTTTCCATTAAATAGCCTCTATTTCTTGTACAAGCAGTATATCATAAAAAGGCGTTCACGTTTTTGCGCTTTCATGTCCGGTGATGTTCTTTTTATTTCTTCATGTTATCGGTAGGTAGCATCCCATCTTCCTATTTTCCTGAAAATCACGTGACAAATCATATTTAAGGGCTTCTGACACTTACATACTAATGTATTCTACGAATTTATACCAACTTTCAGAAATTACAGATGTAGCTTTCTTGTCTCCATTGAAATGAAGACCGAGTCAAGATTGTGAGGTTTATTTTGATTCAATATGTCTATATATCGTGTTTGTTCAAAAGTGTTCATATATTGATGTGTAAACTGCAATTTTCATTCTCATTCATAACAAAAAAAATATCATAGATAAACTAAAATGTCATAATTATTTTGCTTTGATGTCTTTTTTTCTCAAGACTATAAATAATTTAAGGAAATATTCTTGATTTATGAATATTAACTAAAATCTTAAAATAACCGGTAACTGAATGCATCTCAGGAGTGTTAAATCTTCTTACTCCTTGCAGCAGATTAGTGTTTGTGAGTTTTTTTCTTGATGTCAAAGTTGTAAATTGTGTAACCAATCATAGGCAAGCAGGAAATAAGAACTTGTATAAATACATTTATAATCAGGCTGATTATTCTTCTGTCTGGGGTGAAGACAGTTGTGAAATTAATTCTTTTCAGTGTAATAAATGTCTATATAATGTTATTAAGTGCTTGAAATGACTGACAAATTATGTAAATATTATATTAAAGAATAAATTTTCAAATTAGATTAAACTTAAATGAACATACAGTGATTTAATATTGTTGAAGTGCAAAAAGTTTGGACAATACATTTTATTTAATTATTTAATGGTATTCTTTCGAGTATTGAAAAAAAATATTAGAAATTATTTTTTTTTTTTAAAAAATAATTTCAGTATTTAGCTCGTTCCAATATCAATAATTATAAAATAAATAATTAAGCATTTTTCAACTTTGATTCTTTTTTAGAAAACCTATTGATCTTATACAACTATGATTCTTTGCCTTGGTAGGAAAAAATTCCATCAATCACAGGTATATCACAAGGATCACCACTTTCCCCCTGATTGTCTAAACATCTGCATGATAATTGAGCCAGTCGTTCCTAAATCAACACCGACCTGCTGATCTGTTCATAAAATAGTGTTAAAGCTGTCCTGGTATTTATTTATCGCTGGAATCGTATAGTTTTATTGTATTGAGTCAGTGATATTTGTAACGTCACACACCAATGGTAGAAAAAAAAAGTTCCTTAAATGTATGACTGATAAGAAATCAAAGTAATTGTTCTCTCTTAACAGGCGATGTGATGTTTGGAATTTTTTTCAATTATTATTGAGAGTATCTGCTTAAAAGTGTTATCTCCAGCGAATACACACAACTATGCATAGTAATTTACAACCTGCACAGTGTTTGCCTCGTGTCATGTTGTTGCATATCATTTATCACTATAGTGTTCAAAATCTTCCCGGACCAAGCAAATTTAAGCCTTCATGGCCCGGGGTTAGACATGAATTTTTATAGTTCCTACAAAGATTATTAATTACCTCGGAGAGAAAGAGGAATTCGCTACATATAACAACAAACATTGCTTATTTTTATCAAGTTTGACTTTTATTCAGAGTCTGAATATAAATACTTTCAACACAAAAATTATAAAAATGAAATCAATGATGAAATAACTCTCCATTACAATGCATTTGTAATCTCTCACACGGTATGATAGCACTGTTTTAAAAACAAACGGGAAACATTAACCACAACATGAAACATTTAACAATTTTTTTTTCTGTGAAAACAATAACAACTAGAAAATTTAAGAAGAATTAATTAAAAAAAAATTAGGAATTTAATTTTTGAAAACGAATTTTTAATTAGAATTGAAAATATCCAACAAAAAAAAAACAAAGAAAGAGCTCTAATAAAGTGAAAGATTAAAAAAAATGCAAGTTAATGGTATTATAAACAGAATGAGACAGTGATTATTTTATTTACAGTGCACTGAAGAATAATGAAGCCATTCGAACACTCTCTCTTAACGATGTGACAAATAATGTTCTCCAAAATTCAATAGTGCATCACGGGTAAAAAACAAAATAAAACTGAATCAAGTTCAGTATAAGATTATCACAGCTTCACGTCGATTAGATTACAAGAACACAAATTTTTCTTAGCATATTCAGGTCCTTTCGTAAACATCCCGAGGAAAAAAAATAACAAAAAAAAATTTAAAATCCCTCCTTACAAATTTTCAAATTTAAACTCCATCTGTTATAGCAACCTCAAAACTCTCTATTGCATAAAAATTAAATCACACCAAAGAAAACAAAGTGAAAAAATAATACTGTTAATTCCATTCTCTTAAAAAAGCCTACAATTTATTTAAACCTACTCCAAGCACAAAATTTTGCTTTGTTGCATAGATCGGATGTTGTAAAGTTTGCCAGTTAATCTCATATGGCATTTTAGAAGTGACCACAAAGTACACTAAAACAGCACAATACTGGAATATCTCCTCCCCCTGCCTACATACGAGGGGGTACGGGTATATATCACATTACATGTCGCCCACGGTGGCATTTGTCGTGTATGTAGGACACACAGACAGCGGGAGCGAGAGGCGAGTGTTGCTTCATTTGAACACTAGTTTTACAACAAAGGTCCTCAGATATAAATGTGAATCACAGCTTCGTATGAAAGTCCTGAAAGATGAAATGAATGAAAATGTATGAAAATGCATTTATAAATTCATGTCATTACATTATGAGAGTATAATCATATGTATGGGAATAAATTCTAAAATGTGTAAAGGAAATGAAGAAAATTTCTGAATCTTTTCCCATGATATGGATTTTGAATAATATAGTGAAAATATTTAGATATTTATTTATGAATTTAATATAAGGCTATATTGATATGATTATGTAAAGTCCTGGGCCATGGCATGATAAATATACATTTGTTTATAATAATTGTGATTTTCAGAATCAAACTCTACATTTAGATCATAAATTCTAACAGAAATGTGTTTCTTACATCTTCGCTTTTCGTATCTTCCGAGACCTCCTTGTAGTTTGGTGGTTTTTCATCAACATACGCAAGATTATCATGAACTAGATTTTCCATGCTGGTGCTGGCCGGGAAGGCAGACACGCTGCTTCCGGTAGACACTGTCCTGGCCAGGCTTAGACAGTCACTGCTGTAATTGCTATAGTTACTATTTGGACGGCTGGTGATCTCGACAGCAGAATCCTCCTCGTCTGAGGTGTCGTTAGATGCTGCCTCCTTGGTGAGATCCGCGCTACTACTGACTGAACCAAGGAGACCCACTGAGGCCAATCTTGTTAACACCGGTAATAAACTACTTCTTCTCCTCTTCCCTAAAATGCATCAGTTCGTAATAAGAATTTTTGTATTTAACTTATTTATTTACATGTATATAAATCTGGAAACTAATCTGAAGTTTTTCCCATTTATCCCGTTATGTATTTTTCGAAATAAATAGACGTTTCTTTTATATTAACTAACTTTTTTGTTATCAAAGATATTTTGTTTTATGCTAATATTTTGTTTTAAACACGTACCCTCTGGAGCACAGCTTTGGATTTCTTTTTCAGTTGCACCTCGTCTACGGCACAAACTCTGTAGATGACGCAACTCAATCTATGTCAAAAACAAAAAAAGAAATCTTCATAACAGCGAGTCTTTGTTTTCAGGTTGACCATAATAAAAATTATATTAAAATATTGTCATTTCTTTAATCAAAGGTGCATTGTCTGTTTATGGAATGCAAGAATGTTTTTTTGCACACAGGACAAAAGCTGTTGGGGGAAAAGCACGGGGACCGAATATGATTGACGGCGGTCTGTGATCAGCGGCAAAAATATATGAGTAATGACCCTTCTAACCACCGTTCTGAAACAAACGAGAGTTTTTGTCCATTTTTTGATACGTTTACAGGTGAGAATCTCTATATCCATACCGGTAATTTATTCAAGAAATTCCTATAATATCAGGGGAGCAAGGGAAAATAGACATTTTTACGGATTAATTATTCCATGTCTACATGCAAAATTGACGTTTGAAGACAAGAGCAACCCAGTGTCATAGATCGGAAACAAATATGTATCATTTGTATACAGAGCGGGTGAGGTTTGTGGGAAAGACATTGATAAGAATGCTATTTTGTAATTAGAACGTTGTCAAACCAATGGATCCTAGAAATGATTTATGATCTAAAATTGTTCATCAAAGCATTATGGCAATGTAAAATTGCACCTACTTTTCTCACCGAGTCCAAAATCAGAGGAACATTATGAAAAGGAGTGAAAATGATCTTTTGAAATTTTTCCTTTATTTAACTGTCTAGACGACGCCTTTTTAAGCTTTTAACTGTATTTAATGTACGTCATGTCCGCTGGCAATGCTACTCATGTCATTCTAACGGTCTTAATGAACTTTTTTCTTTTCCGGACCGCTGAGTCAACCTTAATTTTACGAGGTGTAAACAGTGCAACATGGATATAACACAATCATACACAGTCGATATAACACTCACTCTATATAACTCTACTTTCATTTTCATGTCACTGGCCCTCTTAACGGAACCCCGATACTGTTGTTTTACAATTTTCAGTTGCACCTGATCTTTTTCTTGTATAACCATTACAAAACCTGTAAATCAAAAACATTTAATATATAGCACACGCGTACGTAGAATGTATTTTAATCTATCTACAAAAGACAATTTTAAACTGTACAGAATTCTTCGTGAGAAAATCAACAAAAAAATGAATTAAAAGGACTCACTGTTGACTATCCTTATGACCCTCCACGGGAGGATAAATATCATGATATTAGCCGCCTCCTGCTCTGGTTGTGCCCATAGCCCCTCCCAGAAAACAATATCAAGAGTCCAGGACACAGTTATAACAATAGCGTCGAAAACCTGGGGGAAAATCAAAGCACATGTAAAGTTAGACTTCAAAATTATTAATCTTCTATATATAGAAGTATAAATCTTCTTTATTAATTGTTTATATAGAGTAAATCTATTGTTTTGTAGAAATTTTCGCCCTTTTTATTGTTTACTTTTTTTATTTGCATATTAAGTATGATGTTGTGCTATTGAAATATAATTGTGTACCTCAATCTTGTGGTTCAAAAACTTCTTTCCCATCGCTAAAATTTTCAACATCGTCTGTGAAATAAAACAAGAAAAATACTCATAAAAATGGATTGTAACATAAATATGATTTTATGAATCATTAGTGTTCTTTGTGTGCGAGGTAAGTGAAAAATTCTGTACAGATTACATATCAGCACAGGTACATCAATCAAGATATGGGGAGTTATTAATTGTCCGGCTTGTATGTATATTTATAAGAAGATTGCCGTTGGAGGTCAGTGAAATAGGCCGAGCCAGCAGTTTTTGAAGACAGTGTGAGAACGAAATTTGATATCTGTCGGTATACAAGTGTTCGAAAGACAATCACGCACATCTCTACACTGATAGAATATTTCATGAATTAAATGTATTAAAACGGTGTAAAATCAGTATTTCAACCAGCTTTTTAATCCATATTAAAATGTAGATTTTCAGAAAAAGAAAATGAGTATTTCAAATTTTGTTTTAAGAGGATGTCCACTGAAAAACATGTAAAGTTATTTTTTGCATGTAGACTTATTAAAGCAAAATTATTTTTAATCTTCTATATATAAGTGCAAAAAGGTCAACATGAGGGTAAAAAAAAATACTACGTTTTTATTTTGTTTTTCTATTAATTGTTTATATAGACTTTCATCTTTTATTTTATGTAAATCTTCTTTATTGTTTTGTTTAGCAAATTTTTAAATTCAGTATTTTATTTGTTTACTTATATTTTTATGAATACAAAGTACAAACTTTTTGGTCATTCAATAAAATCATTGGGATAAGGTATTTTGAAAGAAATAAAAGGAGTCAAATTTACTTATTTTTTATAGTTTTCACAAATGAAACCGATGTAACCGGAATTGTATAAAGAAGAAAATACTAAAATAGTAATGTCAAATTTGAATATGATTAAGAAATTACTTGATTTATTTTTTTTAACATATTATATGTGGCATATTAATTTTGTACCTTTCAATCTTGTAAATTTAGGTTTCAAATTTAAGAAAAAATGCTTGTCTTTATTTCTTTTCAGTCAGTTTACTGTTTTTAAATGAGTGTAACCATAGATTCAAATGTATGTAAAAATTACCAATGTTTTTTACACATGAAGATTACATGTAAAACATCTGTAGATCTGTGAAATATTTGTGCAAACAACCAGAAAAACTTTCTAGCTTCATTATTCATAAAAATTTCTTTTTTATTGTAAATAAAATAGTAATTTTATGAATCATTATTAAAATTGCCTAAATTCAAGAAATATATTTATGTTCTCGACTTATCCAAGTTTTTTCTTACCTGTCATCTGTAAAGCCTTTTCCTCTTTTACAAAATTTAATTTTATATAAATAAGAAAATAAGTTCTTTCTTGTACAGTATAATATTTCAAGAGCCGATAAATCGCAAGCGGAGGGGGGGGGGGGGTTGCGGGGTCATTGCATCATTATTTTTAAAAAATGGTTTCATGAACGTGAAAACATTTTAGGTAAGTGAAAAATTAAGCTGTACAGATTACATATTTTTTTAAAAAATTAAAAAAAAAAAAAATGTTTATCAGTTATAGTGCACAGGTACATCTCAAAATATATTTTATAACAAGATATGGGGAGTTATTAATTGTCCGGCTTGTATGAAAAATATATTTTTTATAAGGAGATTGCCGTTGGAGGTCAGTGAAATATGACTCCCGGGGCAAGGCGCCAAAATGGCCGACCCAAGTTTTACATAGGAATATATAGGAAAAAAACTTTAAAAATCTTCTTCTCCAGAGCCAGCAGTTTTTGAAGACAGTGTGAGAACGAAATTTGATATCTGATAAATGTTTTAGTTTTTATACAAGTGTTAAATGTTGCGAAAGACAATCACGAAATGTTCATTATAAACATTCTTAATTATTTTAACATATCTGATAATTTTAAATAATTAGTTCTCTGACATATATAAAATTACTTATCAAAACGATTTCATGAATTAATTAAAATGTATGTAAACATAAAGAATTTTACGGAAAACTGTAAAATCAGACGTCACTTATACATCAATCATTTACCAGCTTTTTAAATATTATGTTTTGAGGCCATATATAAAAAAATTATTTATTTTTTGTAATAATTTTCTTTAGATTTTCACTGATATAAAATGTGTTTAAAATGCCAGTAACTTTCAGCAAATTTTTTTTATATATTTTGTTGCATTTTTATTTTTTACACAAAAAGATGAAATATTTCTAGATTTATTTAAGTGTGAATTATAAAAAAAAAATTACAGCTCTTTGTTTCTTACAAAATATAGTTTAAATAAGCCTTTATACATAAAAAATGAAATTTATATTGTTTTTAATAAAATATCATATTCCTCACATTCGATGTTATTAATACAATACTGCCTGGTTTTTTTTTGAAAATCTTATTCGAATAAGATAAAAAAAAATACAAAAGTTGAACCTTTATAATAAAAAATTAAATTTACTGATTTTTTTTTTTTTTACTTAGTTTTCAGAATCCAGTTGTTACAAATGTAAACTTAATTTTTCCTGTCAGACATTCAGGCGTTTTTCATTCGCTTAGTATTCATACCATGTAGTACTTAGCATCTGCCTAATGATAAATATATATGTAAACTAGCATTCCAACTGCACTGCAATTCACTGGACCGAAACAGGGCTGCAATTTAACTGGACCGAAACAGAGCTGCAAATGGGCTAAAGTTGACAAGCTACGTTGGACTTAAATTGTTTTGGCCTCAGCCTGTCCTTATTTAGTTGTGTAATCTCCTCCTGAGGCTAGCATGATTTATACTACGGTCAGCTGACGAAGCATTGTTTGTAAATAAATGGACATTCTCTATACAACATATGTACCTTGACTAAGCATAAAACGCTCTTGTTGATAGTAAGATGGTATCATATGGTACGCATATACATGAGCTATACTGAAAATGGAAGATTTTGACAGCCATGTACACGAACTCATTCCAGAAAGTACTTTTTTTCAAAGTTTCATATAAAAGGGTCTGATTTATCGGTAATGAAAAATCTCTACGATATTGTAAGCAATCAAATGGTGTTCACATATAAACAAAAACTTGCTATTCGAACACTCGTGCTTTCGCTTTCCTCAGTAAAATTCTTCTCACCTCTATCAGCAGCACTGTCAGGATGACCATACTTCCTAAATGGAAGGCGTGAGTCAGTTCATGGAGAATATGATGGCTGAGGAACTTCTCTTGGTCACGGAACGTATGTTTGTGATTCCCGCCAGCACCTCGCCGCATCCTCTTGCCATGAACATGGTGTCCGCCTCCTTCATGGGGATGGGGATGATTCGAAACAGCTTTAGCTAATTTTTCTCCATTCATGTGCGGATTGTCCTTTTGCAGTTTGTCGAAACATTCTTTCATTATAACCAAAATCTCTTCTAGACTAGCACTTTCATAGGTACTCTTGTTAAAGCGTGCAGGAAAGAGTTTTGTAAGCGTTTCCTTGGCATGCATTTCCATAAGGGTCTTTTCCTGAAGTTCGTCTGCAAGAGAATTTTCCAATTGTCATAAGATTTCACGTAGATCATATTTGAGTACTTGATTATTTTCATTTGGGACGAACTGCTTATGAATTTTCATATAAAATTTGATGACTTTTCTAAGAAAGACTGCGCGCGCATGCGGTTTGCAGACAACTATTCATTGCAAAGACTAAAATATGTTAGTGTGAACATTCCTTTAATTTGATAAATAAATAGAATAAAATCTATTTGTTTTTCATTTTGAAACTGAACTACACTATATTTCAACCAGTAATCCCTTGTTATATACATACCAAGGAATTCATAATAGTTAACGGATGCTACAATTTAAAATGCAATGCTTATATGAGCTGTAATAGCTGAATTAGATGAATGAAGGGAATATGAATCAGGGTGGAATCTGTAAAGAAGGAAACAAAGATGAATTCCATAAAACAGAGATAGGAATTCTAGAGATGTCAAAGCTGATAAATATTGGAGGAATAGCGTCAGGTTGATCTCGTGACATTTGGTTTTAGGATGGTCAACAGAATTTATGGCCGTTCACCAATATCTATATATGATCAGCTGCATAATAAGAGGAGATCAATTCCTTCTTTAATGTGTATTTTACGATGCAATGCCGGACAGGGGACAGGTAAGTGGTCGTCTTTTTTCGTCACGGTTCAAGTTTACCGTCACCAATCATGCGTGACGGGTGATTTTTAACACAATAGTCTGACGATCATTATGACAAATTGAGAGCTTATCATGTCATTTGTGATGGAATTATGACCAACTTCTAATGCATTTATGAATAATAAAGTAGCTGCACTGTTTCCGTGGTTATAGTCGTTAAACACATTAGCATACATTCCACCTTGCAGAAAACAATAATTAACACTGCATAGTGTTTTATTTTTAAAACCTCTTGGCAAAAACTAATATTTTAAATAAAACAAAAATATAAAACTTAAAAAAAAATAGATAAGGTACAAGAGGGGTACCTGCTCTGGAAACTTACCTTTCATGATGAGAATGTCGCTGATGATTTGACCGATGACACATCCTGCATCTAGGACGCTGAGCGTACAGATCCCAATCAAGGCGACATGGGTGTGCAGCAAAATAGAAAGTCGCTTCTTAAATCTGTAACACAAGAAATCCTTGAAATCATTTTATGTAAATATACCAAGAAAATTACGGGCACACATTAAGGAGGCTAGGGGGTTAACAAATTTAACCACCAGATTTAACTTAATTTTTTAGATATTATATCTTAAGCTGTCAACTATCATTTGGCAAAGAAAAAATTCATACATTTTCATTTTTGTATATCTTTCAATAGGGCTCTTCTTTTAAAGGAGGTCAAAATATTCTGAAAATGGCCGCGACCCCCCAGCCCCTTTAAATTATTTCAGAACAAAGATAATCACGAACAAACTTTGAATTATTCTATGTAAGAAAACAAAAGAAATCACTGGAAAACTTTAAATTATTCTAGATAAGTACGCAAGAAAGCTTTTTATGATCTCAGCAAATTACATATGAAATGAGTAACCTATTTTTGTTTTTTATGTTAATATAAATTTCTAGATTCGTCTTGGAATGAAAGTTATTCCGAGACTAAAATAACAAGACAGGTTATTTTCGTTTTTTGTGTTTTTCCAAAATACCGCTTTTCAGAAAAATCGCCCGAAGGAAAAATTTTACAGTGGTTGATCCACCACGTTAAAAATTCAATTTCGTTCTGTTTGTAAACCATACACGAGTAATCAAATAACAGAATAATACAATTTTTATCAAAGACTATTAAGGATATCGTTGTTTTTTAATTAACAAAAAGCAACAATGCTCGAAAGAGGAAGGGGATAAAGAAACATATCTGGTCACCATCGCAGAAAATGTGAAGAAAAGGAATGTTCGAATAACTTATAATGCTATTAAAGGAACCCAGCAATTTTCTAGTGCAGTTGGCATTTGACAGCCAAGACTTCATTGTGTAAAACATAAACAACTCGGATGATAAATCGGGCGCTCATGCAAACAGTTTTCCTAGATTTATGTTAAGCGGCACAAAACGGACTATATCCCTCTGATATAGAAATAGATTTGTTTCTATATTCAGACGGAACGAACATGTCGGAAGCTGTCTTCAGTAGCAAGGTAAATTGTGATGAAAACAAGCAAAAAGAAGTAAAATGTAAACTTGAATTCAAAGTTCATTACACTCCGCCCTGACATTGAGATTAATTGTGTGTCGGCTGCAGGCGATGCTCAATGGACTCCCGGGAAATGCATCTTGCAGTGCAGCATGCGATCACGTGATCACTTGCCTCTTTCTCATGTATCCAATCCCTTTACAATCGTTTGCCTCCCAATGGGTGTACGGTGTTAAATGTAAAGCGGTAAATAACCAAGTTAACAACAAGGAACTGGATAAAATACAAGAGTATTTCGTGTTCATTTCGACATAAAGTCACCATATTTACTTGTAGATCACGGCGATTTTAAGTTTAACGACCAGAATGATTTTCACACTACATGTATGAAACAACAAATGACGTCTTGTTTTAGTTTTGGGTCATTTACAAAGAGGTGATGATCTTTGTCCACTGGAGAACGAAAACTATTTGATTTGTCTAATCTAAGACCATCGAACATTAATCCTAGATAACTTCGTATCTTAGTTCAAGACGGTTTATTTTTAAAAAAGAAAGAAAACAAAGACATCCAGCGGCCGGTTTGCAAGAATTACACATATGAATTTACAGAGCTTTTGTTAATTTAGATACACACCCACAGACATTTACTGAGAACAATCGGTCCCTGACATGACACGAACTGACATAATTATGTATTTTTGTTGTGAAAGTTATTCCAAGTTTGTCTTATGTAACACAGACAGCACTGCACTACGGAACGACAACTTTATTGCAAAGGTACATGAAAGCAGATACTTCGACAAACGATGCTACGACTCATCCCACGAGGGGATTTTCCCTAAGGAAGTTCAATAAATCTGGTTGTTTTCGGCATGTGAGTAACATCTTGAACTAAAAAAGAACATTTCAACACTTATTCCTTTGACGTAGCTAGCCACAATCGTATTGTTAATTACTAATTTCGGAGAAAACAACTTCATTCATTTGTTCATTTGGTTGTCTTCTGGAATTACTCTCGATGTGATTCAAGTTTTGTTTAAATTTATAGTTGCAAACAATTATTTGCAATAAGCTTTATAAATAATCTAATAGCGAGAATTTCCTTTAAAGAACTAAAGCATACTTTTTTAAGACTCTCCGTTTAAAGTCTTTTTCTTCATTAAAATGTAAATCTCACCGTTTTTACAAAAAAATATTGCGTGTTTGTTAAAACTTCCGTTAATGTAATTTTAATCATTATGTTTTGTGTCATATAATTAATATTACATGTAAAACTACATGTTAAAAAGGAAAAACAGCATTTTTCCATTTACCGCAAGTTGAAACTACCGCTTTGGTTTATTCCTGATAAATTATGATAATTATATATTCTGAAAATTCTAGAAAGTAATTTTTCATATGCGTTACTTTTCGGATTTAAATTCCCCTTCCATCACCATTCTTTTACGAATTTTCACCTGCTTCACCTACCTGGAGCCTTGTGCCGGTTTTCGCCTACCGGGGAGGCAATTGTTATTCCCTTCTGTAGATTTCATTTGCCAAATGATATCTTTCATACCACGTACACAGTCAGTTTAAATTTCATTCACTTTTCTAGTGTTCAGTTCTAGATATAGTATTCACTCCAATAAACATGTTGTAAAAGAATCCAAGAAAAAATCAAGAAAATACCAAAAGCAAAACACTACTTTTCGTTAAAAAGTCCAATATACATATGTGACCACGGGGTTTAAGTGGAAAGTTAATGGTGTTCACTCTGTAGGACCTTACGCTTCTGGTCCGTTCAATGGTAAAAACTCGGCTTACACCTGTCGGCGGAGGCTTCCGCACGTCCTCGCGGAAAGGTAGACCGAGAGAAAATACATGTCTGTAGACGACCTGTTACCTACATTATATAGTAAGCGCCCGTTAGCCTGTCATCTCAGGATGAGTTGACGAATAAAACCCTCTACCTGTCACATTTGCAAGCTATTGTTCCACTTGATTGCTTTTTTTGGAATGGTACCGACCAAAAAGTCACTGTACTCTTTCAGGAAGTCTTGTAGCGTTGGTGACACAGCAACACTTCCAAGATCTTTGATCTTTCAGATGCTTTGGCATACAAATAGCAAACCATAGAAACTTATTGGTACAATGTAGCATGATATTTTCTATTTTTATTATGAAATAGTGCTATTTTACTATAATATATTTTATATATAAAGTTGTGTATTGTAGAGGAAATAACCATAATTTTCAGTTTTTCCGCCAAAATAAGATTCAGGAAAAAAGAATACCGATGGAGATTGGAACCATTCTACGGACCCGTTGAGATATGACAGCGGTAAAATTCATCAAAACTGTTAATTTTAACAAATTTGCGTAATGAAATTTTGTTAACTCTGAGAGAAATATGTAATTTTCAATCTAAGAGTTCACATAGCTGGTTCGATTTCCTAGTGTAACACAATATAGTAATGGGTCACAAAGTGCAATCATTAATTTGATATGTAATTGTGAGTCATAATTCTGATTGAATTAATGAAACGATGTGGCTGATTAAGATATTTTAGTATTTTTATGTTATTACTAGACTTGTAATTGATATGATATATTACCAAAAAGCATCTAAAAATAATGTCAAAAAATTGTACCAGAATAGAAGTAGACATTGTGTAAATTGTTTCATAACATACAGCAATGATTGATTTGAACATAAAAAGATATGCTTCATCATTTAATAATTTTTTATCATTATAGAAGCAACATTGGAAATAAAAAAAAACCCCTCATCTTTTAATCATTAGATTAGAAATAAATTTTTCATTCAGTATAAATGAATTTTTGATACTTTAAAAGACAAACAAACTTCAATACCATATGATATGCCTTTTTAGCACTTTTATTGCAGGTGTCATTAAATTATAATTTGAATAAAGAAATATATTCCAGATATCAGCTGTGTTTATGCACTATTTTGTTGATTTGACGCCTTTAATTTTTTGCCGTCTCACCTCTGTATCCAATGGTCACGTGGTCAGAAAAATATGTTCTACGAGGAAATAAAGCCGTTTCTCATACGTTGAAATTTTCATTTGCATATCCATATATGGAACAGAGGGCTAAATCTGGGCGGTAAAATTAAACAATTGTTATGTAAATGTACCTCTGATTGAAAGGTCAATTACAAAAAATGATAAAACTAGGAATACATCATTTTCATAAAACATTAAAACTGTTCGAGGGACAACACGTGGTTCTTTAGGATGACGAGAGACCTATCATCGGCTGCTTGCTGTCAACTAAATTTAGCAGAAATGAAACAACACAAATCGGGTTTTTGTGGTGTATCTATGAATATGCATCTTTTATTCCGTACCAGTAAATGACTTGTAATTATACCAAATGAAAACCATAAAAATGTATTTGTAAATAATTTAGGGTATAATTTGATGAATTTCAATATCAATTCAAAGGTCAAGATGTTTGACAAGCTTTTAGTTAAATATCGTCTCATTGTGACATTTACTATGCTTCTAGTTTGCGTCAAGTGTTTTTAGGACAGATACTAATATTTAGATATTCCAATGTGACCGCTTTTCGGACGTTAACTTGATGATAATTAACAAATTTGATTTCTTTGACTGAAATTGTTTATAGTTTCCAAGAATCTGTGTCATCGGAATATCTATTAGAAAAAAATAACAACAGACAGTAAACTTGAACGATTTTTTAAAATAGCAAATTCAATCATCAAAATTTTTCTCAACATATCTTAAATGAGTTACTTTCAACAAAGTTTTAAGATATAGCCCTCAGATAATGTGGTTTGTAGTCATTAATTAACACTGGGACCTTTACTTTCTTCCTGAATAAGTGTAGGTTGATAAGAAGATTAATGCAAAAAGATGTTCTATATGAACATATCCAAAATGACTTTATATGAACAACTTTTGTTCTTTCATTTATTTGAATAATTATTTTTATAAATAGAAACAACCATCGGGATTTACCCTAATCTTTTTCGTTGAATTTACGAAGGTGTGAAATGGAAAAGCTACTACAGAAGGTATACATATGCTGTATTTTTCTTATTTTTAACATCAAAATTAACTCCTGAAAAAAATACGAACAAAACCTTGTGTATGCATGCAAAACTGAATTTTAACCTTTCTTTGTTTACGAGACAGAGGATGTTTACTCCAACATAGCACCTGATCCCGCCTCTGATATTTTAAGAGGACCGCTTATACATTTTTTTTAATTTCGTTGTAGGCCTATATGTCACACAGTATGTCATTCCAAAGTCTAAAAATGACAATAAACTCAAATGACAAGATAAAAAATCGATCCCAAACAGTATTTTTAAAAGAATCCATACATTTTGCTTTCATCAAAATAAGACTAATTGTATTATACTTTTAAATGTGCGTACTGGAATTAGGAAAAATTATAATTAATCAGGCTATAAATCTAATGAAAATTACCTCTTATAGTACATGTATATAAATTTTTTTCTGTAATTGCCTTCAATTCTTCTAACTGAGAATTAAGTGGTATTTTATATTCCTTTATTTTACCAACCCCTATCAGGAAGTCTGTATCTAATTTATAATATAAAAATAGTTGATGATAGTGTACAAGTGATTGTTTTATTTAATATGTGAGCGTAAATCAAACAAATTTAACGTTCTCACCTGTCACAAATCCATTTATACGATGACGGATGAGATGGTTCGACATATAGACTTCAAATAAAGGTGATCATTATGGTTAAATTTCTTAACAATTTTGAAGGTAATCGATCAATCGCCGAGAAAAATGACAGTTGGAAGAGAAAATAAACAGAAAATAAGAATCAATTATTTTTTTCCTTTTCTACTACCTGTTTCATAAATATTGCTGAAAAATTGAATTACATGTATATGAGAAGACAGAAAATTGCATTTAGAATAACTAAGTAAACCGTGGATTGATGCAGGTAATCTTTTTTGTTTTCAGTGCAATTCTTAGTTTTCTTTAAATTTAAAACTTTTGAACATGTTCCATGACAGTTGGAAACAGCAATCATATATATATGGATTCTGTATATCAAATCACTTAGTTTGACTTGTTCAAAAATTGAAAAATGGTAATTGTAGCCAAGGCATTGGAGTTTTTTGTTAGATAACCGTGATAGCAATCCCATAATTGACGTGAAAATCAATGCATGTTTAATAAAAAAAATCTCAAGAATGTCTTTAGAATATTTTTATTTTTTCACCATTGCATGAATTTAATTTAATCAATATTTCATTATGTAAAGTCAAATTACATTATTGGATAAGACATCAGGCATGGCGTATATAAGTCCTCTCCAAGGTCAAGGTTACAAATGTTAAGAATTTACAGTGGTCTACAATGATGAAAAAAAATCCTAAGTTACATTAATTTCTTTTGTTAACTAGAAATGGGAAAAAAAGAAAAAGATGAATTAAATGATAAAGAAGGGTATTTACTAAGTATGTATACATGCTATACAATATAATGACAAGAAAATAAGAGTGCAAACAAATAGCAAAACAGAATAGGTAAGTAAATAAAGTGAAAAGAAGAAATATTCAAAGAAAAATACAAAACAGAAGGAAATGGTAACATAAATTTGTTCAGGCAACGACACCATTGCATGTATATTAACGTATAATGGGAGAAATGAAATGAAATCTTGGAACATCATTTTTCATCTTAAAGAAATTTTGGGAGGGGAATCTTGCAAAGAACAATTTGCGTTTCTGAATCAAAAACAACACATTTTTCAACGCTTATTATAAAAATACATCATTGAATCATTCATAAATATTCCATTTCATTAATATTGCAAAGATAAATAACAGATTATTTCTAGCTGACTCGTGATTATGTTGAGCAAAGAACAAGAGGGAATTTATCTTAAACTTCTGAATCTGCTTCCTACTAACTCTACTTCCGGCTTGCAGGGTCAGAAGAATCGTGACCCTATTGTATGATGTCACGTCCTAGCTTGCATTTTGTGGTTATTAAGCCACAGTGGAAGATATAAAATATTCACTTCGTCTGATAACAACCTCAGCACAACTAGCATTCCTTTCAAATTAATCTTCATGAATGCCCACCTCAAATGCATAGTGTCAAAAAAGTTATTTTTAACCATAGGAGGAACAAGTGAAAAAACAACCTGAAATAGATTAATAACTTATGCAATTGCAAAAAAGATAACATTTGAAAAAGATTGTTTACTTCAATATCATTGCAGCAATATTATATTTAATGCTTTTTTTTTGTCTATGATACTTTCTTAAATGTATTGTGTCAGAATCAATTAGGGTGATATGGTGGTGAAATTGGAAATAAGAAACAAAAATAAAAATCAAGAGATTCGAAGAAAAAAAGAAAGAGAAATCATCTTTGAGATGTGAACGTTTCTAGCCTTACTGTATGTAATATAATGAACTAGGAAGATAAGAACAGAATCCAAACTCAGGAGTCTATAGAAACTATACAAATCTGGAGAGGAGCAAACACGGACCTCTAAAACATCAGAGGTGCTTCATTAAAACTTACCGTGTGGGTGAAAAGTTCAATGACACCATCCATCAGGGCAGTAATATCATGTCAGAATTGATTTTTAAAATATCTACAAATCTACATTATATTACCTCTATTAAGGTCTGAACAATGATAATTTTGAGGCAATTATTTAGCAATTAGTCTTAAGAAATGTCTTTAAATTTTGGGCTATGGTTGACAGTGTGTCACATATTTAGCTAAAGATATAAAAGTGACTAAATGTGACGTTTATGCATTATACCATCCCATTTCTGATTGTATGATACCTAGAAATTAAAATTGAGATTGGTATAGAAAGATGTG